TCCGCGTGCGGATCATGTAGTAGAAATGCAGGGATTTAGTAATAAAAACAACGATGAGTTCATGCACGAATTTATTCATAAAGTAATCATGTATTAAACTCAGATATGTTTAAGAATCCTATGTATCAAAATTGCCCTATATCATCTTCAAGCAGTGGCGAAGCGTCCTGGCTCGCCCATAGGCCCACCACAGCATTTTCTGAGAACCCTTCCGTGCTCTGCACGAAATGCTCTTAGAACATGTCTGGCCGAGACCGACTTGTGTTAACACGTCGGGATTATGTTCTAAGCACAGCGTTGCTGTTATTAGAAGATTTCTGGGTTCTAAGAGAATTTCGTGGTAGGCCTACAGGAATGCCGGGACTGCCGGTCCCTGCTCAACATCTCCCTCCTCTTCATCGTTCCTCTGTTCCTCCGCGTTCTCCTGCCTCTCGTGCTCACCCTCGTCCTCCGCCGCCGGCATGCTCTGGCTCCAAAGTCACGCCTAGGTCTCAGACGTATAAGCGGCGCGGCCACATTCTAGGCCCCCTAGATGGGGTCCGAGCAGACGGGGTCGGGGGTTCGCGCCGTGTCGCGATGCATCGGCAATGCGGCTCGATGTGGAGCCCGATTTCCTCCACGCTGGCGTCGCCCATGCATCGCCGATGTCGCCGATGCATCGGCGATGTATCCCCGATGTATCGGTGATGCAGCGCGATCCTCCGACCCCATCTACTCCGACCCCATCCAGGAGGCCTCTTCACATTCGCGGTGGCCGCGGGGCGCAGTTTTGAAGGGCGTCTTTCGACATGCCTGGCAACAGCAACATCACTTCGCCTTTCACTTCGCCTCCATCCTTTGCCAGGGATTCGTGGCCCGCGACGCTGGACTCACTGGGGGAACACCTCGACAATCTGGAGCTCACCTTCGAGCAGCAGTCGCGGCACATGGGCACCCTCCTCGCGCAGTACAAGGCGGCCCTGGCGCAGCACAGGCAGGCTCTGAGCCAGCAGTTCGCCCAACCGTCGCAGCTCGGCGCACGGACCCCCACGTGGACGCAGAGGCCCGGGGGCGCAGGCGCGTCCGCGGGCTCCGGCAGGACGGCGGGGCGAGGTCGACTGCACACCATCGCCGATCCTGGTCGGGCCAGTCCTCGGCCCAGCAAGGGCCTGGCCAGGATCGGCGCGGGCGTACACAGTCGGCACATCGAGTCAAAAAGAGAAACAGCCTGTCAGCGGGTGCCCCGCAGAAGCGCCGGATTCCGTGGCGGCCTGGGGAGCTCCCGAAACGCTGGGGCATCTTACGAGCCTCCACAAGTCGACGGAACATGTGCCCCGGGATGCCTAGCAAGATTTCTTTCCCGATCAGTGCTTGCACCCAGGGCTGTCACCTGCTTATCCAGGTCATTGGCGCCTGGTTCTATGTCTCTGCCCCGTGCCCTCCTCGTGCCCGCCCCGTGCGTTTGCCTGGGCATCGCTCGGACGTGTGCATTTTCCCTTCGGCGAGGACCATCGAGGAGTATCCTTGATCATTTGGCGAAAAAGCCACGCACGAAACAGAAAAAAACACAGGGAATGGACGTCCGAGCGATGGCCAGACACCGTTATTTTGTTCCTAGCGCGTACAAAGTGTCTGCCCCCCTGCCAGGGGCTGGAGTTCACTCGGCGGCGAGCGAGGGGGGGGAAGTGAGACGGAGAAGGCCTTGTCAGAAGATTCGGAACTCCCCCGGCCTTCTGAGAAGTTGTCCAACCCTTCCCCGAAGACGAGAAAATTATCAGAAGGCGCGAGGGCTCTTGAGAAATCCCGCCGGCCTTCTGAGAAGGCCTTCTCCTTCTCACTTCCCCCCCTCGCTCGCCGCCGGCAAACGGATCCCATCCACGCGCGGAGTTGCTCCCCAAATCACGTTTTGCCACCTCTGGCTGTTCCAGAAGAGCCCGCTGGTGGCCAGGCCGAGCCTGGGCTTGGCCCGCCTTCCTCGGGGAGGTTGGGCTCTGATCCCTTCTTGTTGCGTTCCTCGGGGCTGCTTGGTCTTCTTTCGTTATTGTGGCGCTCCTCTGGGTTGCGTTGTCTTGTTTCCTTCCCGTGGCCTTCCCCAGTGTTGTGTGGTCGTGCTTCCTTACCGTGGCCTTTCCCGGGTGTGCCTTGTCTTGTTTCCTTATGTCATCCCGCGGGTTGTTCGGTCTTGCGTCTTTCCTGCATTCCCCGGGCTGTTTGGTCTCCTTCCCTGGCCGGCCTGTGCTGACCATCGCTCCTGTCAAATGGTGCCGTCGGTTGCACGCGCGTTGATCGAACAACCGCGGTTTGCAACAACCCTTGCAAAATATGTCCACGCGGGCACGCGCGGGTCCCTGCGCGCGCATGTCGATTCATTCGGTACCCTTGTTTTCGTTACTTGTTATTGCTCTTCAATGTATGCTTGGTCAAGCAAACACACACCAAATATTCGCTTCACAGCGATGACGATTCTGTATTTTTCAGTGCGCGCGCACTTCCTCATTATCTTCACACCACCGCCACCATCGTCGCCAGCCTCATCATTACCACCGTTACCGTCATCACCATCACCCCCATCACCGTACCATGGTCAGTATCACCACCGTCGTCATCAGAATCGTTTTCGTCATCATCGTTGATGTTGCCCTCGCCGCCTTCGCCATTATCGTCGTCGCCGCTGTCGTCGTCATTATCACTCGCCCGCCCTAGCCATGAATCGGCATGAAAAGGATCCGCGAACCATTGCGCCTGTCGAGATGTGCGAACAAGTTCCGATTGGTAACTTCACTCACGGTGTCTTGAGTTGTGCCGCGAAGCTGTGGGTGGGCGGGTGAGGTTCATGTTCAAGCATTGCACGTGATAAGGCGTGGATCAAACAGGCAAGTCCATTTCCTCATAACAGCTATACTCTACCACTCTACCCGCATGCCGAGGCCGGGCTTGTTGGACGTCCTCCGATGGTTATTCTCCCCGCCTTTTGTCATACCCGACCGCCCACAGTACATTTCAAATAACACAACCCCAAACAAGTTGGTATCAACCTCCCCCCGTCATCGGTGCACGCGTTGATCTGACAAGTGCGTTGTGCATGGACCCTTTTTTTATCAGGTAATACAATATGGGCCATATATGCACGCCACCGCGCGCCCGCGCCTGTCAAAATCATTCAGAAGCACGCGGCTGCCTAAACAGTCAGAATCATTTAGTGTTCCAGAGTATTATTTCAGAAGCCACTGCTTCTCCAGCAGGGAGTGGCAAGGCTCCTGTGCGCTCGCGCCCGCTGGAAGCGCAAGGAAGCCATTAGGTGTTAGGTGTTTGGCCGGTGTGTGTGTGTGTGTCGATGGCGAGCTCTCGGGGCCGCCTGCCCGCACGCGCCGGAAGCACCCGACCATCGTGGCGCACCCGCCGGCTCTGCCCGCGGACGACACATGCGGGCCACATGTCAAGCAGTGGCGAAGCGACCGGGCTCGCCTATAGCCTTACCAAACAATGTTCCAAGAACCTTTTCTGGTTTCCACGAAATGTTCTTCGAACATTTCTGGTTGATATTGCTTTGTTTTAACACACCGGGTTTATGTTCTAAGAACATTGTTTTTGTTCTTAGAACATTTCTGGGTTCTAAGAACATTTCGTGGTAGGACTATAGGAATGCCGGGACGGTCGGTCCCTGCTCAAACATGCGCACCTCTCTCCGCGCGGGCACGTCGAAATCCTCGAAATTTGGAGCGACAAGGGACTTACAGTGGGGGCCCATGCCAAGAAGCACCCTGCTTGCCTCCAGGGTGCCCTGGGTTTCTTGGGTTTCGGCGAGTTCGCGATGCAAGGCGTGACGTTCTCATGCCGCAAATCATCGGACGCCCTGGGGTCTCAGGATTAGTTTTCTGGGGAAAATTTCTTGTGGTCGGGCCCCCACTGTAGTGGGCCCCGGACACGACAGAGCCGTTTTTGCACCGTTTCCAAAAAAAAGTGCCTCTTGAACATGGAAACGGCAAAAAAAACACGACGGCCGGGAACGGCAAAAGAAAAAACAACTCCAGGATTGGAACCGGAGCCGGGACCGGTGAACATACGGCGACGGAATCGGTAAAAAACGGCGTCGGAACTGGCAAAAAAACGGCAAAACGGAACCGGTAACAAAAACGGCATTGTTGTTTCCAGGGCCCACTAAGACAAGGGATCAGCGAGTGTTCTATCCATGTTGAATTGATGCATCTTTTCAGTACGTGCGGAGCGGCGCCGCCACAGAGCAAGTGCACTGTAATGATATACTCTCTGGGGGGGCTAGGGACATGTGGTGAGCACCCCATGCCGCGCGCTTACCCGCGCCGTGCGCACGTTGCACAAATGCTCGAGACAAGACCGTGTCGCACAATGCACGAAGTCGTCTCAAGACCATGTTCCCCCAAAAACACGGTGCTTGTACTCAAGGGGCTCGTAGTCTTGTCCCTGAGGAGTTGGACGGGTCCAGCGAGGTTGTTCCACCTTGAAGCCCGTGGCCGTTTCGAAGCCGCCTCGTGCGTTGGGTGGGTCCTGTGAGATTTCGCCACGATGCAGCCCGTGGCCGCCTCGTGGCCGCCTCGTGTGCTGGGTGGGTCCCGCGAGGTTTCGCCACGTGGCCGCCCGTGACCGCCTCGTGGGCTCAGAGTGTCTGGCGAGGTTTCGCCACGATGCCGCCCGTGGCCGCCTCGTGGCCGCCTCGTACGCTGGGTGGGTTTGGCGAGGTTTCGCCGCGTCGCCGTCCGTGGAAGCCTCGCGGGGGCACATGCGAACTACATACCCCACACCACATAGATTGGAACACATAGCTTACACCAGGTAGCTCACACGTACACCACATAGCTCGCACCACATAGATCTTCCTTTCCACAAAGAGGAAAAATAAATGACCCTACCACCACCACCACCACCACTCGGGATTACCCCATGGGACATTGCGAATTGAATGTGGTCATACATCATCATTCACTTTGCATTTGAATTCATATCATCAGCTGGAGTTCCATTATACACCTTCCGTCATCCTCGTCGAGTACTAATATGTTCGCATGCTCGTTTATAGAAAAGGATAACGTGCCGTGAATTCATAGCGAAAAATCATACAACATCCAAGCGCGCGCACAAGGGCTTCGACATGAAATTCTAAAGCGCCCTTAGGTGCTCCACCACGAATGTTACACATTTTCCCCCCGCACTTGCTGAAGTCGTAGGACAACAATTTGATGTTTGCAATTACGCCCGGAAACTGCACTCTCATCTCACCACGCCGTGCATCCGCGTTGGCCCAGCATGCGCCCAGTGCGCGAATCTTTGTCAAGTAGTATCATGCGGGCGACACGCGCGCGCCGCCACGCGAGCTTGTCGAAATCCGTCCTAAACCCTTGGTGTTCGAAGCAAGGCACAATAGAGCTCTTCAAACAATATATGCAAAACCGAACGTCTGTCAACAGAAAGTGTGCCAGGGTTCTTGGATTTTCCGCGCGCGCACTTCTTCACCGCCACCCCCATCAGCGCAGCCGCATCACGCCATCGTCATCCGCAATTGCCTCCATCGCCGCCACCATCACTTAAACACCCTCATCATCGATACAGGGACGGTGTCATCGTCCTCGGCCCTCGGCGTTACTAGCATCGGCGCCTTACCGTCGTCATATCGCCGTCCTCGCTACCACCTTCGCTACTATCATCATCGTTGACGCCATTGCCGACCTCATCGCGATACCGCGCCCGCCCGAGCAACCGACCTGCATTGAAGCGTCCGCGCGCCAGCGCGGCTTGTGACACGTGGTGGGGCGTTGCCATCGGTAAGCGCCATCGCGGCCGCGTCGGTAGGGCCAAGCCAGTTGGCCGCTCTGCGCACGAGTTTGCGCGCGCCAGCGCGGCTGCAGGCCATGGCCAAGCAGTCAACGCAATAGACGCCGCATGGGCCTTGCAAACCAAATTGCGGGTGGGAGGGTGGGATGTTTGCGCGGGCAAAGGGGTTGACAATTCATTGTTCCCATGTACAACTTAGCTGAGCCACATAGCTTGCGGCACATAACTTACACGGCACAGCTTACAGCCCACATCACATAGACCACACCGCATGCATCACATTACATAGCTGATTCAT